GTCAACTCTGTTATGTGCAGTTCAACCGTCTTTCTTGCTTCTTCGTTTGAAAATCGATTTCCATGCCGTGCAACAATCGTCATCTAATAGAGGAAAGGTACGGGTGGCTTTTCGTGGGAAAAGTAACTCCATTCTGAGCCCAAATATAGGACAAGTTTCTGAAAGCTCTCGAGGCTACGGCGTTCCTCCTACTTAACTCTGGTTGGATGGTGCCATCGATGGCGATGAAGTTTCTGAAACACTTTAATTGATCAACCTCCTGAAGCGCTTTACATCCTTTTTCCACTAACAGATCAGCTGTGTCTAGTCCATTCCTCATAACTTTTGGAACAGGAGATCGTCAGATTATAGAGTTCGTTTCCTATACAATTCATCAGGAGAGTACCGTTTGCGTGCTCCAGATCAGCAAGGCAACAACAATATCGAATATCCTGAACTGCGCCTTTTCTCTAGAATTCGACCTTCTACCTTATACTTCGCTACGGTCAACACGGCTTCAGAGAAGAAAGTCGAGAACAGTATTGAATAGCAATGGCGAAAGCACCTATCAAATGACCAGGAAAATGAGCTGCCATCTTCTGCTTAGTGAATAGACAACGTGACGTATTTTTTATTCCACTGTTTCAAGTTTCACCTGTGCTACCTGTCATGGTGTGAATAATGTTTTCTTATTGATGTCAGTAATGATCGTCCGTCTAACATGGTGAGAATGTATGGAGCAAATCATGAAACTCGTAACATTGAAACTGAATACTGGCCTTTCAGTATGAAGGATCCCATAATAACTCCATCGTTTGAAAAATTAGAGCCTTAGCTTAATAAACAAATCCCAAATGAAGACCAAACAATATTTAAAAAAGAAGCTGACTCATTTAAAAGTGATTCATATTCAGCAGAGGAGAAGGCGAAGTTATGCAGAAGCCAGCTGCAGTAGATCCAGAGGGTGGCATTGCACAACACTCGCCTGCGATTTCTGTTCTTGACCAAAACCATACAAAGTGCTAGACTTTTCTGAATTAGCCGGGCTTGACGAAGGTTTGAGATATGTCGGTAATAGTCCATGAGGGTTTTCCCCTGAATGATTTCTCAGGCAAGTAATCATCAGAAGACCTTCAAGAAAAGACAGGATTGGAAGAGCGTCGACTTACGTTCGTGGCCAAACCGAACTAAAGATGAAACTGTTTATTAAGAAAAGAGGTACAGAGAAATATGAACTTTATATTTATAAGATGTGCAGTATTTCCAATGGTTGCATTTTATTCCTTATTAATTCGATCCCGAAATTTGTTTTTTCTCAAAACGATACATTTCCATAAAAGTCAACTAAAAAATTGGTGCATAATTCGTACAGAGTGTAAAAATCTATCTTTTAGCTTAAAGTGATATATGAGTGTATGAATTCGATGAGGTATCGATGATTTTCTTCAAAACTCAGTTCGTTGTGAGGATCAGCGTTCCTCCTTAGGCAAACTCCGAGAGTATGAGACAGTTAAATTTGCGTGAAGCAGATGGATAGTGGATGGTTCCCTGAATCATCGTTCAAAGTAGGTGGTGCTTCAGCGTTACGTTTCTCGGATGCAGTGAATTTGTTTGCATACACTCTTTTTGTTTAAATGAGGTCGCTCATTCCGTCCTACAGCTAGCAGCCTTAAAAAAGAGAACCAATGAGGATGCCGCTAAATAATGCTTCAAACAGAATCGCTGCTTTTTCTATACACACAGCAGCAGATGCTGATAAAAATGATAAGGACCAAGTCAACGGTGACCTTCTTCTTTTCTCACGTTAGAATAAATAGCGTTCAGGGCTTAATCTGGAAAGC